GCATATTTCATGTTCTTTGTCAGCACCATCATTCAAACGCTTCCGATTCTTCTTTGATCTGCCTTCGTCGTTGTCTGGCTTTCATGTGCCTCTGAGGCCATTGAAAATGTCATGGTGGTGTTTGCCACACCGGAGTCCTCCAAGTGATGGCTTTGTACACCCCGTAGGGTCTTCCGTACGGAAAAGAAGACCCTGGTAGATAATCTTCGCATAATAGACCAATTACAGATTTCCCAAAGCTCTGGAACCGAGCTTTCAAAGCTTCTTTGAATAATTCTGTTTCTACATTTAAATTTCCCAACCCCGTGAATGAAGAGGCAGTAACTCCAAGGGGGAAATGTTTGTTCTGATGCTCAAGCATAAAAGGAATCTCAGGATGGATTGGGACACATGAACCGATTCTCCCTTGTTAGCACATGCCGCGCACCTCCTATTAGCTTAGCACATGCAAATGTGTACTTTGGAACCTGTGATCTCCTCTCCCTCCCAATGACCCCATGAGAAAGACTAAGCCATTAGGATGACCTCCGTGTCACGGAAGAGGAAACTGAGGTCCCAAGAGGCACCACGAACCAGGTCAACCCCAGGTAGGAAGTAGCAGAGCTAGTACTCAAGTTCTGGGTTCCAGACCCCACATCCTACTTGCTGGTGCTGATCCACCTGGAGAGCAAAGTTGTAAGACGTGGGCCAGGTGAAGAACTGCTTATAGATAACGCAAAGAGCAAGAGAAACAACCCTGGGCAGATCCATCACCTACCTGTCTGTTAACTATCCTTCCCAGCATTCAGGACTCAGCACCTCTGCTGTGCAGCCCCAGCCACGGCCTCCCGCTAAGCTGAGGACTTCCTTTCCCTGAAGCCTGGCCACTTAGCAGACTGGGTGGGGACCACCTGGTGCCTGTCACAGGGGGCTCTTTGAGGGGTTGTAAGTCTCCGAAAGAAAGCAGGGGCATCAGGGTGTCCAAGGAGGGTTTGACCCAAAGGCTGTTACCATGGCAATGCCTGGCCTCTGACTAACCAGCAGGTGGGAGGAAGCCAGGATGACTCAGGATGAGTTCCTTTCTGGGGTGAACCTGAGCAGGGGGCACAAGGGCGGGGAAACGGAACAAGGAGGGCTGCTGCTTGGAGGAAGTATTTCTGTGAAGGTCTTGTCTTCCTTGAAAAGTGTTGTCCCTGAAATGCAGGGATGGCCCCGCACTTGTCTGGGCGGCCTGTGGGGAGCCACCCACAGCGTGAGCTGTGTCCAGTCAGTGGGGAAGCTGTTCGGTCCAGCGCCTGCCCGGTGGGGTGCTGGCCCAGGCAGTGGACCTCCCTCCCACTGCTCCTCACCACCCCGAGAGGGTCTGGAAGTCACGTTCGAAGCGCTGGGCATGCGTTGTATGAAGAAAGAACTAGAAACTGAAAAATAAAGGGGTGGGGGTTGGGTTTATTACACAGAGCGTGTTTTTCATGAAACGTGTTTTCTCTTTTGGGGAACGGCGAGTATGGACGATGTGTGGGGGCACACGTGCACGTATCTGTCCAGAGTGAATCCTAACATAGAATACACGGTATGATCCCCGTGGTGGGTCATAATAGAAATTAAACAAACCAAACTCACTGCCGTCGAGTGGATGCCCACGCATAGTGACCCTGTAGGACAGGGTAGATCTGCCCCGTGGGTACCTCTGGACAGCAAGTGAAAAGAGGCCCATCTCCCCCTTGGAGCGCCTGTGGGTTTCAAGGTGAGGACCTTGCGGTTAGCAGCACCCGCACCATCATGACAGCGCGACATAATTGGGGCGGTTTTTATGTGATAGGCATTTGGTTGAAAGGGCAGCTCTTGTTTTTGAGTCAAGTTCAAAACCCTCCAAGAAACAATGCAAGTTAGAGAACAGGCGTGTCCTTGCGGCAGCCCCCAGCTCACGGTAACCGCCCCCCACCCCACCCCCGCCCCCCACAACA